CTCTCTCTCTCTCTCTCTCTCTCTCTCTCTCTCTCTCTCTCTCTCGCACTCCTTCTGGCCCGTTCCGTCCCAATGCCCCTTCCGTTGGCCGCTTTGGAGACTTGGCATGCAGGGAGGCTGGTGGTGCTTCTCTCGAGTCTATTCATGCAGTTTACACCTTGTCTGTTTTGCAGAGAGCGAAGACTCCTTTTTTCGACAGCTTAGGTCACCCTTCGAAAGAAAGCTGAAGGGAACGAGAAGTGAGTACACACACACACGTGCCACGGGCGTTAAGGCACGCCGACTTTAACACAGTTTTGTTTGATCTAATGTACTATGCTGCACTGTTGTAGACTCTTAGCGGGATGGTTTGCATTTCCCTTCATAACTTTTGAAGAGCACGGGCAAAACTGTGGTAAAAGCGCTCAAAATAAAAAGACGTGTAGGCATGAGAACGGACATCTCACCACGAACTCTACACTGAAATGGTGGTTAGTGACTCCCAAAAGCTCCACACCATGAGCTGAAATGGCATCAAATTTCATCAATTTGATTAATAAAAACAACTTATTGAGAATGAGCTGATTGATTTGGTGCTTTGTTGATAGAACCGGCGCCGCGCCGCATCACGCCTTGTTTGGCGCTGTGTTTGGTTGTTGCTGCATGCTCCACTCGGCCTATTCTTTCCGCTCAGCTCACAGGGCTTTTAGTTGCTGATCATGGTGTATTCTTTTTGCCTTTGTTGTTTGCCTTACTGTTTTAACTGTACCGTGTGTCAGAGCTGCGACACAGCACTCGCTCCACCCGTAAGGTACCATCACTACACTCTAAATGTCGAAGGACAATTTTTGGAACTAGGACCGGACTTCTGTAAACATAACTAGCTCAGATACAACATTGTAACTAGCAATAACTCACATTTAGTGCCTAGCAAGTTACAATATTGTATCTGAACTCAGTTATGTTTACAGAAGTCCGGTGATAGTTACAAAAAGTGTCCTTGGCATTTAGACGGTAGAAAAACTAATGTGATATGTGCCACGTCAATTGATGTGATCAGTTTAGGTCACACCATGAATGGTATCATAAGTTTCGGTCACGCCAATTGATGCAACAACGTAGGTACTAAGAGGGATAGGCATAACACAAAAGAGGTCACACAAAAACGTGGGCCAAAAATATTACAACACACTGCGACATACGAAGACTGTCACACTTGTAATGTGACTGACACATGTCCCTATAGTTTTTACAGTGATGGTTCCTCGGGTAGGTACACCCTCACACTGTTGTGTCGTAGCCCTAA